AACTTAAACTGTCTGCTGAGCTCTCAACATTACTTCTCACTAAGTGAAGCTCTACCTTTGAGGAAATGTATTTTCAGATAAGTAAACTTAAGTAAACTGCATCATGGCCCCCCCCCCCCCCCACCCCCCCCGGCACCAAAATGGGCGAGTCAGAAACAAAGGTGGTTCTTAAAGAGACAGAGGCCAGTTTCAAGGCGTTTAGAAGAGGAAGTGATGAGAAGATAAGTTTATTTTCTATTTAAACATAAAAACAGCATTTTAATAACTGCTAAATGTGACATAGATACTTTATTATGGAATAGTATTTAAATATATGCCTGAGAAACACATAATATTGGCCCTTTAAATTATCTGTTATTGTCAAAGCTCTGTTTTTGTGTACTTAGGCTATTTTAGCTTCCAGCTACCAATCTGCTACTTCTAGCTGACATTTTGCTTCTTTCATCTTGTGTTTCGCTTTAAATCAGTTTCAGCTTCTTCAGTAATTTGTAGTATTTTCACAGAATCTGAGCAGAAAACGTCATTTCTGTCGTTCCGCCTGTGTTCTGTTGTCAAAAATAAAGAATGCATGAATATTAAACAGCTGTTATATGTGGTATTATTTACTGCAGCAGGATTTTCTGTAAATCCACTCCGTCACAAAACACCACCAACGGTTCGTCACTAATCTGAAACATGCTGGCCTTCCATCATTTCTAACAACTCCTGGAAAGAAAGGAGTTACCAACATGAAACTAAAAAATCATAACAGACAAGAGCTGAAATGGAAAGTGGAAAGAATGGTTCGCCTCTCATTCAGAGCAACAATGGAGTCCGTTCATCCGAGCTTCGGCCTTCACCGCAGCCAAAACCACAGCCAACGCACTGGAAACGTCAGAACCGCCGCTGTGTGTGTGAAAGTGCAGCTCTGCTCTCCGGGTCCGAACCCACAGCTCGCACAATGAAATCTGACTGGGGTCGCATTTTTTCACAAACATTCAGCCGAAGCGGCCGAAAGGCTCCGCACGTCGAGCCGACAGAAGCAACGAACGTCATTTCACCGACAAGAGAAGAGGATTTAACGACTCCCTGTGGACCAGAACCAGCAGGATCTCCAGTCCTGGTTTCAATTAGGAACCAGTGGGACCATCTGCCAACAGATTTCTGTAAAATCATTAAAAAAAACCTGAAAACATTTCATCAAATGTTTGATTTATTTTAACTAAAATGACAGAAGGTTTGGATCTTCGTGTGTTTTAGCTGTTCTATTATTCACTCTCAGCTAGGGCTGCCACAATTAATCAATTAATCGACGACTAATCGATTATTTAAATAATCCATGACTAATTTAATAATCGATTAATCGTTTTCTTTTTTTTTTTTGTTCTTTACTTTGTTTTTCTCTCCAAACTACTTTGACACCTTCCACTGCCACATCTGCCTTTCTGTCTTTGACACACAAGGGCTGTGTCCAAAACATTAGGCCGGGTCCTCCGAATGTCGAATTTGTCGG